CAGCTATGAGCTGCTAACAGCCACATTTCCACAACAAAAGGAGTGTCCGCAGGAGGTCCAAAGGTCAAATGACCCTCTTGTAGGGCTTTTAGGGAAAAAGGACAATTGATATTATCAGCATTCTGATGGCATTTTAGCTAAAGGATTTTTATCAAAAACACAATTAATGTGCACAAAAAAGGAATAGTTGTAACCATACATGTAAATAGAGTTTTATGGGGCCCCCAGGAACTTGGGGCCCTAGGCTACTGCCTAGTATTGCCTAATAGTAAATCTGCTGGTAGAAATGAGGCTGACGTCCTGGTTGACCCTCAGTAATAATCCCAGGCAGTTGTTTTTATCCAGGTAGACCTGCTGGTCTACAGTGAGCACCTCTCACCCACAGACTGCTGTTGGTCTTCATCATCTCTGCTGAGTTACTGTGTTTATCTGACCTCGGTGTCAGTCCAGGGTCAGCAGGGTTGGGGGGGCCTGTCTGCTGCTCCATGAGCAGGAGCAGGAAGTGAAACTGTGGCTGAAGCTTAATGAGAAGCAAACGTTTGGATGCTCTGCAGTCCTGGAGGGAGACCTGAGGAGGAGGGTCGGCCATGTTTGGATTTACAGACTGACTGCATGGAGACTCAGGGAGGAAGTGGATAAAAGATGGCCGCCGGCGATGCCTCCGATCATTCAATGCTGAACCGAAACACAAAGAGAGGATCAGAGAACATCTGAGGTTAATTCCCAGAATGAGACAAGAATCCTTCATGACGTCTCTGATCTTCCTGCTGAGGAGCCGGAGGTCCTGAAGGTGGAGCTCTGAAGGTGGAGCTCTGAAGGTTGAGTCCTGAAGGTGGAGTCCTAAAAGTGGAGCCCTGAAGGTGGAGTCCTGAAGGTGGAGTCCTAAAAGTGGAGCCCTGAAGGTGGAGCCCTGAAGGTTTGCAGACTGTGGAGGGGGAAAAATATCAGTTTTATTTGTTGTAATACAGAGAATTAAACGTCAGTTTGCTCCTATTAAAAACGTTTTATCTCGTAAATATGAATATAGAAGCTCTTCTGCCACAGAGGAAGACAGGCTTGGATTGGTGCAAACAAGGTGATGTCATGGTGACTCATCCTCATCATTTGTTTCAGCATTTGCACACAACTCTTCCTCCATTTTGCTCAGATATCCTCTTCCTTGTTGAGTTTTTATCCATTTTATTTGATTTTTTGTGAAATAAATGAAAAATAAAAGCATCCAGTAATTATTGAAACTGATTTTTTTCTTAGTTGACCATCTCATGGGAGCTGGCTCTCTGTCTTCAGCCCACTGTATTGGAATTTAAACAAATGCAACAGTGACCTCTGGTGGCCGGTTGCTGAAGCGATTAAATGATAGAACTGATTCAGTTGATTTGTTGCTTTTTGTTGGATTTAAATCTTTCATTAGTTTTCTGTCTATTTTCAAATGTGTTTATTGAGTATTTAAGAAGGTTCTTTACTAAAATATACCTTACAACAAGACATAATTTAATAGCTATAGGCGAAATATGTAGAAAAAAACTTTGCTCGTACAGTATTGGTCAGTTAGATTATGTCATTATTTTAATAATTCTCTTGCAAGGCCATGGCTAATGACATCCATAGAGCCTCGGTATTCATTCTATAAAAGATCCTTAATAACTGATAAAAAGGCAAATACGCTGGGGAAAAGATAAATTAACTCCAGGCCCCAGCGAGGATCGAACTCGCGACCCCTGGTTTACAAGACCAGTGCTCTAACCACTGAGCTATGGAGCCATTTCGTGCGCAGAGACGTCCAACCGGTATTGACTTCCATCTGTCAAACACAGTGTGACGGACAATTCATAAACGTTTTCGGTCTCCGCTCTATGACTTTGACTCGGACATTGAAACTTTAAATCTGTTTATTAAATTTCCTCCCTTCCTTTGCTTTCGATGTCTCGGTCCAAACAATTCCAGCTGGTTTCGCCATATGACTCAAACCGGATGTGGTTAGTCTGAAACGGTTGCAACAGCACCCCCTGCCGGTCGGAGGGGGAACGTCTGCATCTCAGAGCCTGATCCAGCCTCCTGCCTTCATCAGGGTTCTCTATAAACTAACCAATTAAAAATCAGCGGGTCTGAATAAAGAAAATCATCAACCGGTTAAGATCAGTAAAGAGATATTTTTAATTATCTGTTAATTTAAACATAATTTAACTAAGAAATAAAATGAGGTGTTTATGCATTCATGTTATACATTGAATTTTTAAATGTAAAATACAAAAACAAAATAGATTGTTTTTCCCCCCATGTTAAAATCTAGTGTTTTTTGAAGTAGAGAACAATAATCTTTCAGTTTTGTATAAAGACAATTTCCTGGTTCACATATTTATAAAACACCTGAACTGACTGTTTTTTCTGGTTTAATAAGAGCAGTGGGCTTTAGGCTTTAAAACAAATAAATACTCTAATTAAAGCATCAAACAAACTTATTGCTTGCTTAAAAAATACTTAGAGTATTAAAACTACTTTCTAAAAAACTGCAATGTTTTACCATGATTATTTAGTGTACCTACTATATTTTCTGTAATACATCACTACTATTAGTGTGAAGGACAATGCTGTGGATTAAGCATGTTTTGTTTTTGTAAAAGTTGGAGATTGTAATTTTGGAATTTCAGGGATGATCATTTTCATTTAATTTTTTATTTAATTGTCATTACAGTGTCACAGTACAGAGCAATGCAATGAACTCATTGGGGTTAAGGCTCCCCAACTGCTCACTGAAATATCATTCAGTGCAGGAAGATGAGGGATTACACCTTTGAAAGTGTTTTGGTCAACAAATGCCGTGTTTTATTTAATCTGAAGTTAGCAGAGATAAACCTCACTCTGACTAACAGGCTCTGACCTTTTTAAGGGTGATTCTTTAACTACGAGCACTTTTATGTCCTTTGATCATATTTCATAAATAAAGGGACATTTCACACCTTTATAGTTATCTTTACAATGAAACTTAAGGGCATTTGTTTTAGTAGTCTGTAATGACTTTTTCACCTTTTTTCAGCCTTATTTATATGTAAATATTACCGTTTTGTGCTTTTCTCACACCCAGACTTTTGATCTTCAATGATAAAAATTAATAGCAAAAAAAAATTATTTTCTAATGTTTTAAAATATCATTAAATAAAATATCAGCAAAATAATCAAACTGTAATTGAAGTATTTAATGTCATACAACTGTTTATGTGATTTTCTAAACCTGTTGTAGTTGTCCCACACTATTGTCGTTATTTCCACCACAACACTAATGTCCCTTTAATAAGTTTGTATCAAAGATTGTTTGGGTAGTTGCTATGGAGATGAACAGTGACATCACAGCACAAGTCTGACATGGTGGAAATGTTGACTTATCCATCAACTTTTGAAGTAAAGCCAAGGTAAAGCGAACCGAAAACTGAACCCAACCAGCTGTGATGTCTGTGGGGCGTTCGCCCTGAAACATGCAGACCGCCCGCATCGTGGACGCCTGGCAGAACCTGAACAATAAGTTTGGTTGAGCTGTGCTGAGAAGAACTTAATGGTTTTATTCAAAATTAATTAACAAATTATTTACAGTAAAGTGAAACAAAAACACTTTAAAAAATTAGACAAATTTAGCAGAAATGGAAGCAAAGGTGAAGTGAAGCAGAGTTAGAGACGAACCTCAGCGCTGTTCACCTGGATGCTAACAGATTCTGACTGATTATTGGTTACTGACGTTCCAGATCTGACCGTTCACTCGAGTTGGACCTAAGAAGAGCTGACCATGGCTGCTTCTGGCGGAGGCGTATCGGTGAGAATGAGCTGCTAGGAACGGGTTCTGTGTATTTTGATCTGTTAAACATTGAGATGATTAAAGTGCAGCTGAACTAACAGATGCTGAGAGCCTGCGGAGGGCGGCCGGATCTTTGAGATCTAGATCTAGATAACCGTTTCTGTCCTGCCGGTTCTATTCTTCTGCAGCAGGTTTTGTGTTTCCACAGATCACCCCAGCGTCTTCATAGTGGGCACAGTTATGCTTCCCCACTCCAGCATGTGTGCAGTCCAGCAGGTTGGACTCGGTGCCGTTGCACTGAACATCATCCAGGAGAATGGGCAGACCCCTCCCCTCTCCAAACTCTGAGTTCCTAGCAGCCTTCAGGGCGTGCTGGAAGCCCAGCTGCCTGCAGACCACCTTGGCGTTTTGCTTGGACCACAGGTCGTCACACACCGTGCCCCATTCCCCGTCGACGTAGATCTCCACTCGCCCTCGGTCTCCCTGCAGGAACTCCTGGCTGACCAGTCTCACCGCTCCGTTACGGAGCTCAGACGTTCCTCCGGTCCTGGTTTTCTGTCGTGGTCGGCCTTTCCTCCTTGGTGGTCTGGTGGTGGGTCTGATGGGGGCGGGGGTGCTCATGGCTGGTCTCCTAACACTGGAAGGATCCAGGAGCTCCAACAGCCAGTCGTAGCTCTTTGTGGGTTCAGGTTCTGGCGGCACCAGAGCTGACGAGTAAAGCAGAGCAACTGATAAAGAAAATATGCAGAAGAAGACGCTTCGTTTTTAGAGCTCGACATAAACTTACTTTCCTTTGGGACAAACGGGATGAGGCTGCTTTTAACCCGGACAGGAAGTGGGTCGTAGTGGCACTGCCTGGGGGGGGCACGTCTGGAAAACAGCAACAACTAAATACAGCATTCAAAAAAAGTTCAAATCAATCCACTGTTTCCAAGTTTGAAGACGTTTCTCTTCCATCCAGGAAGGTTTTTCAGTTCACAATGGCAGGAATAGCGTTAAGTTCCAGGTTTATACAGCAGCCAAACAACGCCTTTAGAAACAGACTATGAATGCAGCATTGAAACCAAAGAAGATTTGTTCTAAACTGACAGTTCCTGATATGGAAATAAATATTTAAAGAGGTTTAAAACACGGAAACAACCTTTCAGACCCGCAGGAGGAGAGAAAAAAAGGCTGATATCCTGCAGACGCAGCTGGATTTAACTTTGAAATATCTTCTGATTTTCTTCCTTCTCTGAATCCTAACATGTTATCAGGAATGTTCCTCCTTCAGGTTTCTGACTTAGGTTCTCACCTTCACTCCAGCTGTTTTAGTCCAACTCCATGGTGTGTTCAGGGACATCCAGAGAGTTCAGCTTTGGTCTCATCTGACCCGATTATCTTCATCTGTTCCTGTACTTCACTGGCATCATCTTCATCATTTATTGCAGCAGAACAAACTGTTTATTCAGTGCTGCAGTAAGTTGGCATTAAGCTTTATTTCTTAGACTTTCGTGGGAAAACTTTGCTTGTTTTTCTCTGGTCTTATTAAACTCTCTGCTAACGCTGCTAGATTCGTAGGAAACACTTTGCTTTGTTCTCTGACCCTGAAGGACACCATGCTGGTGGAGAGATGAGGATCTTTTGGCTCCAGCAGCAGCTCTGCCTTCAGACTGAATGCAGCTCTGATCATTTCCATCCGTCTGGGTTTCAACCGTCTCTGGTTTTAGCATCGATCACTCAGCTACTGCTTCAGCCCGACTCTGGACAAATATTGGCTTCTTCAGTATTTGTTTTATCTGCTATATGAGGATCAATAAATTGATGAATTCATTTCTGTATCACTGGATTGATCCCTTTATAGATATAATAAAGATAATAAACATGAAGCTGCACTGACTGGGTTACATGGGGAATATTGGAGTTCAGCCCGGGGTGGGGGGTGAGGTGATTTACCATTAGGCAATACTAGGCAGTTGCCTAGGGCCCCAAGTTCCTGAGGGCCCCATCAAACTCTGTTTCCATGTATTGTTAATGCAACTATTCCTTATTTGTGCACATTATTAAAATCCTTTGGCTAAAATGCCATCAGAACACTGATAATATTAAGCGTGTCTCAGCAC